ACGAGATAAAGTGGTCAGATGTGAACAACTGGACTTCTCAAAGTGGAGCCCTTATGGGCACCAGTAAAGTGCCGCCCGATATGTCTGAGCAACAATTGGAAACAGTGGCCAAACATTTCAAGAGTTTCCAACTCAAAGGTTTGCTAGTGATCGGGGGTTTCCGAGCATTTCAATTGGCCATTAAATTGATTGACGTTCGCAACCATTTTGTTGAACTTAAAATACCCGTCTGTATAATACCGGCCACTATTGATAAGTAAGTATAAATTACTAATGAAGTATTAATTAGGATTGAATTGAATGAATGGATAACTGTTTGAATATTCAGTTGTTTTATAATACAATACATTATATTAAAAGATTATTTAAAAATTATTAATAAAATTCAAATGCATTCCTTTCAGTAACATTCCCGGAACCGACTTCTCTTTGGGAACGGACTCCACTCTCAACAAAATCACTAATCTATGCACTGATATCGCCGTCTCTTTAAGAGGTAAATCAATGTCAAATCAAATTGAATTGAAATGTAAAACTCAGTTATTAATTGCTTTTTTACCTAAAGGAACCAAAAGGCGTTTATTCATAATTAAAATTGAATCTCATTTTTGTGGTTATTTGACGGTATTGTCTGCAGTGGCTTCCGGTGCCGATTACTGTTACATATTTGAGAGTAATTTCACCATCGATTCGGTCAAAGCGGATGCCAATAATATTAAGACAAAAATGCTTTCCGACGATAGAAACCGATTGATAANTTCCGACGATAGAAACCGATTGATAATTGTGTACATGTTTTGGATTATTACTTTATTTATATATTTCTACACATACTGGTGCTGTATGTTTATTGTATTGTATAATCTATAGGAACGGAAAGGCAAACATTAAACTTCAAACCAAAACAATTGCCGAGATTTACACCGAAGAAGGAAACGGTGTTTTCATCACAAGTTTTGTTGATTTAGCAAATTTACAGCAAAGCATAAGTCCTTCACCTTTCGACAGAATATTGGCCATAAAATTTGGCTACCGGTGCGGCGATTGGCTCTTAAATAACTTGCAATCAAACAATGCAGTTGTGATCGGAATTATAGAAAAACGTTACACTTTCAGTAAAATTACAGATCTTATACCGCAAACAGACTTCGAGTATTACTTTTAAATTGAATTTTTCTCAAATAAACTCTTAATTCATTTTTAAAAATTACTCTTTAGACATGAAGTACCAAAATCTCCCTGGTTTCTAAAACTCGTGGATCTTGTCAATAAATCCTCTTAAATGTCATCTTATTAATTAGACTCGAAATTTTTAAAAATTTATTTACATTATATATTCAGCTGTTTTATAATACAATACAATATATTAAAACAATATTTACAAAACACTTCCTTATATTTTAAAATTATTAAATTTAAAGAAATCCATGCATTCTTTGCCTTTTCACAACCTCATCGATATTAGTGGGAAAACTTTCAAACTCTTCAAAGATATCCATTTTATTTAAATTGTGAGAATTTCTTAATAAATCCATTGGATTGTCCATTAAATTGCTAGTTTGCATGACTGGGTCATTCATCAATGGATTCCATGGGTTGCCAACTGGTCTAAATGGTTGTGCCATAAAACGAGCCTTTGATCTCTGATTATTGAATTGAATTGATTTCATTTGTTGTCTTTGATTCTGTCCAAACATCTGTGTCGATGTCTGTCCACTTGATGATACCGGTGACCCATTCATTGGCTCTGACTTTTGTTGAACATTTTGCTGCTCTTTGTGTCTTTCGGCTAATTTCTCAATCATTTGTTGCATTTGTTTAATATTATTAATAATTTGCATATTATTTGCATTCATGAGTTGTGGCGAAACGGGTGACACAATGGACTCGTCTTTTGTGATATATTTGTCTCCATTCAAGTCTTCATTAGATTGGGTCCTCAATCCAGAAAACATCTTCTCTTCACTGTTTGAATGGACAACAAAATAAGATTAAAACAAATTTTAGTAATAATAACTTAACAATAGAAACCTTACTTCACGGGAATTATAAAGATTTTTTCTTAGAAAAAATCTTTATAATTCCCGTGAAGTAAGGTTTCTATTGTTAAGTTATTATTACTAAAATTTGTTTTAATCTTATTTTGTTGTCCATTCAAACAGTGAAGAGAAGATGTTTTCTGGATTGAGGATCCAATCTAATGAAGACTTGAATGGAGACAATTATATCACAAAAGACGAGTCCATTGTGTCAACCGTTTCGCCACAACTGATGAATGCAAATAATATGCAAATTATTAATAATATTAAACAAATGCAACAAATGATTGAGAAATTAGCCGAAAGACACAAAGAGCAGCAAAATGTTCAACAAAAGTCAGAGCCAATGGATGGGTCACCGGTATCATCAAGTGGACAGTCATCGACACAGATGTTTGGACAGAACCAAAGACAACAAATGAAATCAATTCAATTCAATAATCAGAGATCAAAGGCTCGTTTTATAGCACAACCATTTAGACCAGTTGGCAACCCATGGAATCCATTGATGAATGAGCCAATCATGCAAACTAGCAATTTAATGGACAATCCAATGGATTTATTGAGAAATTCTCACAATTTAAATAAAATGGATATCTTTGAAGAGTTTGAAAGTTTTCCCACTAATATGGATGAGGTTGTGAAAAGGCAAAGAATGCATGGATTTCTTTAAATTGAATAATTTTAAAATATAAGGAAGTGTTTTGTAAATATTGTTTTAATATATTGTATTGTATTATAAAATAGCTGAATATATAATGTAAATAAATTTTTAAAAATTTGGAGTCTAATTAATAAGATGACATCTAAGATGATTTATTGACAAGATCCACGAGTTTTAGAAACCAGGCAGATTTTGGTACTTCATGTCTAAAGAGTAATTTTAAAAATGAATTAAGAGTTTATTTGAGAAAAATTCAATTTAAAAGTAATACTCGAAGTCTGTTTGCGGTATAAGATCTGTAATATTACTGAAAGTGTAACGTTTTTCTATAATTCCGATCACAACTGCATTGTTTGATTGCAAGTTATTTAAGAGCCAATCGCCGCACCGGTAGCCAAATTTAATGGCCAATATTCTGTCGAAAGGTGAAGGACTTATGCTTTGCTGTAAATTTGCTAAATCAACAAAACTTGTGATGAAAACACCGTTTCCTTCTTCGGTGTAAATCTCGGCAATTGTTTTGGTTTGAAGTTTAATGTTTGCCTTTCCGTTCCTATAGATTATACAATACAATAAACATACAGCACCAGTATGTGTAGAAATATATAAATAAAGTAATAATCCAAAACATGTACACAATTATCAATCGGTTTCTATCGTCGGAAAGCATTTTTGTCTTAATATTATTGGCATCCGCTTTGACCGAATCGATGGTGAAATTACTCTCAAATATGTAACAGTAATCGGCACCGGAAGCCACTGCAGATAATACCGTCAAATAACCACAAAAATGAGATTCAATTTTAATTATGAATAAACGCCTTTTGGTTCCTTTAGGTACAAAAGTAATTAATAACTGAGTTTTAAATTTCAATTCAATTTGATTTCACATTGATTTACCTCTTAAAGAGACGGCGATATCAGTGCATAGATTAGTGATTTTGTTGAGAGTGGAGTCCGTTCCCAAAGAGAAGTCGGTTCCGGGAATGTTACTGCAAGGGATGCATTTGAATTTTTAAATCATGTTTTAATATAATGTATTGTCATTTAATAATAATAATTTAGTAATGTAATTTATAAAACAACTGAATATACAGTATAATGTAAATATTATAGCAAATTTATACTTACTTATCAATAGTGGCCGGTATTATACAGACGGGTACTTTAAGTTCAACAAAATGGTTGCGAACTTCAATCAATTTAATGGCCAATTGAAATGCTCGGAAACCCCCGATCACTAGCAAACCTTTGAGTTGAAAACTCTTGAAATGTTTGGCCACTGTTTCCAATTGTTGCTCAGACATATCGGGCGGCACTTTACTGGTGCCCATAAGGGCTCCACTTTGAGAAGTCCAGTTGTTCACATCTGACCACTTTATCTCGTGATAGTTGCCACTAATTAGTCCATCAAAACCATCACGAATTCCAAAGACAGTGTGTCCGCCAATTATCATATGTCTCACAAATGAGAGCACAGAGGCATTCATTCCGGGCGATGGCTCTCCCACTTGAATGACCGCAAACCGCAATCCCTTTGATTTATCGCATTCTCCAGAATATATTCTATGAATCGATTTAAATGTCTTGAAATTTCTTACGAAACTCTTTCCTCTTAACTCAAGACACTTATCCCACTCTTTCTTATCCATCGCCACTCCAACCGATTGTGTCTTTATATGAAAACATTTATGAATAAATAAATACATTGAATTTCATTTATAAATAACAGACCTGTTTCACAGTTTCCATGAGTGGTCTCTTACTTATTTGATTACCATTTATAGCTAAAACACAAGACTCAGCGTTTTGTGTGTTTTCTTTCAAAACCTAAATTACAAACACTTTATGAATGAATTGATTCAAATAATTGATTGCTGAAGACCTACCTCGACGGCGGTGGCGCCCATACGACTACCCAGTATGCGATCGTATGCCGAAGTGTGACCTCCGCGTTGAATGTGACCCAAAATGGTTAGTCTTACGTCTCGTTTCGCTTTCTCAGAGATAATTTTCTTCACATTTTGTGCAGTAATTTGCTTTCCGTTTAAATCGAGCGCTCCTTCGGAAACAATAATTATATTAAGTCTTCGGCCGTTCTTTCTCTCCTAAAGTGCCATAAAATGGTTAGAAAAGCAAAAAACTACAGAATTGTTATACAATTTCAATCTTTTGACACAAGAATTCTGGCCAATCATTTCCAGGCGGCGATTCCGGGAAGACTAGATCACCACAACAGCCATAATAAACATCAAAGAATTTATTTGCAAGAATTAAATCACATATAATATGATTACAAGTAAAAGTTGCCTCCAATGCAAGGGCTGACACCAGAGCTAAATATCCGCAATTTCTGCCCATCACTTCAATAACCATTGCTCTCTGATGGCTATTCAGATAAATCACTCATTAGATGCCAATTAATTATAGATAATAGCATTGAAAACCTGGTGGCAGTGGTTGCGATGGCATCCACCGCTTCGACAATGCGATGCAATGCTGTGTCGGCGCCGGTAGTTATGTCTGTTTGACAAAAATCGTTATCAATTGAGCCAACAATCCCTATAATATTTAACTGATTGTTTCGAGCTTTCATTTCTTGGGTAATTTTATCTGACAATAAAAATGGTTTCCAATTATCTAAAGACTTACTGCTAATCTATAAAAGTAATACTTTTCTCAACTAATGTATTGAGTATATCCTGCCATTCTTGTTGTAGACAATTAGCTCCGGTGAGACTGCCATCACCACCGATGACCACCAGATTTGTGATATTCCTTTTAATCAGACTTAAGGCGGCATTCATTCTGCCCTCAGGTTCACGAAACTCAGAGCACCGGGAACTGCCGATTATTGTTCCGCCCTTTCCATCAAAACTTTATTAGTGTCTGAAATCATACGTTTTGACACATTTTCATACACACCTTATGTATGATGTGATCAACAGTGAAGAGATCGGCTTCTTCGATGTAATTACGATCACCACAAACGAGTCCGTTATAGCCCTCATAAATGAGATATACTTTGAATTTGTTGTAAATACTCATCCGAACCACTGCTCTGATCACTGCATTCATGCCTTTGCAACAAATATTATGTTAATTGATTCAATGAAAACAAGTGTCAATATATTGAAAACCTTGTGCATCTCCTCCACTCGTGAGAACACCAATCACTTTGCTTTCACTCATATCTTAAATTGATGTCTAAATTCACACTTTAAATGAATAGAAAATATTTAGTTTCGGTTTGAAAATCTCTATGCTTAAAATCTCTCACCTTTTTAAACAGATAATTAGCACTAATTGAGTACAGTAGTTGTATTTTGAATATAATTACAATAATTACATGATTTCCATTGGGAGCATTCAATAATGTTATGTAACTTTAAATCGATTACTAATATTTTCGTTGACATTATTTGCACGCAATATATCGTTAAATAAATATATTCAGTCATCGGATACTTTTTATGTGTTAAAATATAGGAATTAACTGATATCATAATAAATGAATCTACCAGTGCAAACAACACACTAAATAAAGACTAATACCCTAAATTCTAACTGTTCAGTGAAAGATTTACAAGTTAGATTACAATTAATTTTTTAGATTAAAACATGTGTAGTAAAATATATAATATAGTACAATAGTTTTATATTCCTACGTATATTAATTATAATTTGAATATAACAAATACATTTTAAAAATTAATGTTAATTTATTGCATACCAAAAATAATTATTAGTTAAAAACTTTAAAATATTACATATTTGAGCGACAGTTGTGTCTATATTCAAACACAATATTTCTTTGTTTGGCTAACTTTTGGCACTCAATTAATGTCTCGAAACCAATTAACGGACAATTAATCAAAGATAATGATCTTAAATTTGTGTTCGTTTTAATCAAATCAAATAATTTATCGGTTGGGAACTCCGTGTTGTGGACATCAAAAGTATAATCATTTTTGTGCTCACTCACTTTATACTGAATATGCAAATATTCTAAGTTTTTATTTATAAAAATAAAATCTAAAACTCAAGTGAAATCTTCGAAGTAGACGTCAACCAATTGAATCATTTGCATTGAAATATAATTTTTGGTGAGAAAGCTGCAAAAGTCTTTACTAATACAGGCATTCATTAGTCGCATACGATTTAATTTGAGCCGCAAATGGCAATTGAAATACATTTGCAACAAACCGTCAGATTCTCGCAAATCATTCAAATCTAGAGTAAGACTTTCCACTGAATTAAGCCCTTCAATGGCTCTATACATGAATTCAAAGTGATCTCTACGCCTAAGACTCAAATGTAAAGCTCTTAATTGTGTAAACTTTTTCACCTCTTTGCTAAAATAAATGTCAGAATCTATTTCTTCACAATAAAGTCTTAATTCTTAAGTATTGAATATTTTGTCCGTATCTGTCAGTCATATTCATAACCATATCTTTGAGGTTTGATTGATTGGTTTGATCACTTAAATTTGTTTGATCTCTTTTCGAGAATATGTTTAAATGAATGAAAATAATATTTGGCGGCAAATAAAGCAAACTTTTGGCATCAAAATATGGTTCAATGGGATAGATGTCGAGTTTGAGTTCTTCTAATCGTATACTCCTTTCGAAAAGTTGTGAAAAACATAATGTTTGATCTTTTAGTTCATTTATTTCATTTATTTCTATTGCATTATCAATAGATAAGTAAAATAATCTTGGTATTATTTTATAACACATATAATTAAATGTTTGTGCATTCATTTTAATGGCATTCATGTGCAGACATTCTAGATGTGGACATAATTTGAGAATTGTATTCAAAAATATTGTGTCTAATGTTAAACACCTTAAATCCAATGATTGAAGTTCTGAACAATTGTCTAATACAAGTGTGAACGGAGAACCAGGGTCTGTCAGCTATGAACGTATACATGATTATAATTACATATACAGTAATATTATGACTTTAAAGTTACTACTATAATTTATACTACAAACAAAACTATTATACTAACAAACGTATTGTAACTTACAATTTGTAAGAGTAATAGAGTAATGATAAGAAAATGTCTCACTTGATCCAAATGAATGGCAGAGATGTGATGGCGTGAGTAGTGGTCCACATGAGAGCAGATCCAGCGTTCAAACTCAATGTGACCACAGGTTTGCACACATTTGAAAGGTATTTGATTGCTATAAAGCCTTAATCCGAGCGACTTTTGGTTGAAAAAAGTTGTACTCAAATACTTTGTCAATTCATTCCATTGTTTGCAAACTATTCGTAAACTAAACAAGTGGTCGATATCCAGATAATTAAATATTTGAAACAAAGTATTTTCTGATAAGTTCAATAACATCTTTAATTCGTAATATTAAAACAGTAATACTTTGTAGTATATATTAATTAGCATTGAATTTGTAATATGTTTTTAATATAATGAATTTGGAGTCGACTTTATAGAAGTGGAAATCACAAATTAATTCAAATATAATATAATAAGAAAGTAAAGGACTGTACACCTAATGCTATCAGATATTTGAAAACTGTTTCATACAGTATCTGATATCTTATTACAAAGAATACATGATAGAAGAACAGTGTTATGATTACACACATGAGTACATGGCTTACAGTAATATGAATAGTTTGTTTGCAGACAACACAAGAAAAGTTTGAAAATAATTTGAATGTAAACCAAAGGACCGTTCCTTTGTGTAAGAGATTATGCCTCAGGTTTGCAATACTTCTGCTATATTTCATAATTATGTGAATGATATACAGTTTCAGAATATAATGAATTCCGAGAATTGGTTTAAAACTACAGTACAGTATTAAATAACACATAATATATTGCTTTCACAGCAACTTAATACATGTAGTCATTCCAATGCAGACATTCCCTTAATTAATTAACTACCGTAAATATTAAGTCAATGATTAAAATAATATTTATAAAACATAATAAAATAAACTTTATTAAATTTTATTTATTTATTTTTATGTTTTAATCTATTTGATATAGATTAAATATAAAATAAACTGTTGCTATACATTGTGTAAGCTAACAAGATAATTGACATAAAATTGAATTGAACTAATTATTGACTTTTAAAAATTGAAACTCATAAATCTGCAGTACGTATAAAATAGAGCCTTAATGTGAGTCTCATTTTTATAAGCTTTGTCTTTAGCTTCAATTTAGACTCCTTTTATGCATTTTTCTAATTTCATAATAAGTTGCTAAAGTAACTTATAATATTGGGACTTATAAAGTAAATAATATAAGAAATAAAATGGCAAAATAATTAAATACAAATAACAAAATCAGAACAATTTCATAACAAAGCCAAATAACTATTCATTTTATTTATTAAACAACTGTTTTAATGAAATTAATTTATTCTTAATAGCATTCACTAATAATTTTTAAAAATTCTATAACATAAATGCTATTGAGTGTAAAAATAATGCTTGATAGAATTGAATTTTATAGGTTTAAGAATGAGAATAATTAGAATGAATAATCATTAATATAAATATCATAAACTGATTAATTTTAAAATATACTTTGTATTAAATTCTGGTGTCTAAATAATTTTGCAAACTTGTATCCAATAAATGTGGAACTCCTTTTGACAGGATTTGAAATCATTTACTCTAACATTAAAGGGTATAATGAAGTATTGATTTAAATTTAAAGTAAATTAAAGTGCAATAAATTTCAATTATCTTTTGTAAAGTATGGCTAATAATTAGATTTAATTTTAAAGATATTTTTGATATTAGAGAATATAAGAAATTATAGTGTATTTCATTAGATTGGATATTAACTAAGAAATCAATCAAAAAATAATAGCAATAAAACTAAAGTAGAGCTCAAAAGATATGATTAGAGACGAGAAAAGTTGTGCCAAACTTTTTATTAAATGCCTAACACTTTGAGTGAAAATTAATGTTAAAATCGATTATATCTATACAATTGCTTCACAAACAAAGTGCTGCTAATATAATAACTTATGTTATGTTTCATTTATCGGTCAATACAAATGAAAAACTATATTGTACTGTATTGTAAGTTACGTTAATTTAGAGAATATTCTTTCCTATACTGACATTAATACAATACAATACTATAAAACTAATTAATATATAATTTTCTATTCAGAGCTCAAACTCAAAACCATTAGTACAGAGATATAATTGAGTATTTAGAAAAAATCATTGTATTTATATAAAATATGATTATTACCCCAATTGTTGTACAGTAGAAACACTCGTTTTGAATTCATAACCATAACTGTAATAGAAAACAACACAATTGATGCTCATTATCAAAATGACATAAACATTGTTTGGTGACTGTTTTTATTATACTGGTCAATAAAAGATTAACAAACATTTATAGACACCAAAGTTAATTAAATTTTTAATTTAAATAATATATTGAATTTGTTTGATGTAAATCTTTAATTTAAATAAAATCAATACTGTATTAAGTCAAAAAATGATTATTTAATTTACAATTTAATTTGACAACAAATACAAACAAAATGAGAATTTAATGAATTTTTGGAGATTCAGTCTTTTTGTCAGTTTTTGTCATTTCTTATATTTGTTTGGTTTGTGTTTGAGATTACATTGAATTGTTTTTTCATAAATTATAATAATTAAAATATATGATAATAAATACATACAAAACATTTGTTTGAATACTTTAAATAAAGAGATGTTCTCGTTAACAACGATTTTAACCTTTAAATTTAATTAATTTTTAAAAATACTGTAAATTTAGTGGTAAACTGAGTAAAAATATATGAAATCTAAATAAGAATTTGTTAAAATAAATAAAAATAAATGTAAAACTCAAAACAATAATCTGTAATGTTATGTGTTTATACAATTCAAATAATACTGTTATTTAATGCCTTTTAAATGGTATATAATCTCTAAAATGTTTAGCACATATTTATTTCATTACAAATACTAATCATTGGTTTAATTGGCATTTCATGTATGTTAAGATTAAAAAATTAGACAAAAACATATGCAATGTTTTTCATATGTACTCTAATAATTAGCTGATTGTATAATTTGGTAATAATAATAATTATAATAATAAATAATTATTAATAATAATATTTGAATGATAAGAATATTATTAATAATTATTTGCATATTAATAGAAATCG